GCGTCCTTGCAGAAAATTTCTTTACTGTACAACATTTGACGCTAAGTCTACTGTACATCTATTAAGTTCATTTCTTTTGTGTCATATCGAGATTTTTTTTTAAGCAACATACAATTATACATATACATATATCCGAATTATTTTGTACTCTTATTTTTGTATGTGAATTTTTTAATAAAAAGAATTTAATATTTTACTTGGAGTTGTGACGTTTCTCGAATTTAGTCTCAATCGCTAAATTTTATCGATCTACTACATAGTACGAGTCGCCATTCTGAAATCTATGACTGAGAAGTTGGAGTTGTGAAGCGAAACGCTTTTCTTCAATGCGTCGATTCCGAAGGGTTCCTCGAAGGAACCATCGAATGGGAGGAATTCCAGGCTGCAATTTTACGCATTGTGAATCGCTGGGACGGGAGAGATCCGAGAGATTATACCGGACGACTCAATATCCACCGACACACGCAAGGAGCTCCTCGTCCCGCTCGGGACAAAGGAGAAGAAAGTATATTCGACCCCACGACGAGAAGTTACCATTTGCATTTCCGCTGCAAGCACGGTGCCACGCGCCGCTCGCGTACCCCTCGTATACCCTTCGACGGAGCACGCGAGGAGAGAAGCGGAGAGTTTCCTCCACCGTGTATACTTTGCATAATTTTACGAATCGCGCGTATAATCGTTCGGCCGTGCTACAAAAAACCGTGCCGACGACGAGTCGATATATTAGCATAAGATTCGACGGAAAGGAGTGACGCACGCGTGCGCGCCTGCTCTTATCCTCCGCTGTCAGAAGACACGTGGCCCCGCGATCGGAAGGGTTGAGATCCGGAGTGAATTTGTACGAGAGAGAGAGAGAGAGAGAGAGAGGTCCCTTCCCCCGCGTGTGGAGAACTCGAGTGAATGTTTAGACATAGGTGTATATACGGAAGTGTCGATGTGACACGTGCCGCGACACGACGGTACGTTTGCTCGCCGTGTATACTCAGCATTAGCATGGGATTTCAATGCCGGGCTCGGCGTATAGATATTTTCTTGCTTTTATTCTTCGGAGCGCTTTCGGACGTCTCGTGTATATAACTATGGAATGTATAAGAGATTCGGTTCTCTCGAGTCCTCCAAGTGTAGAGAACTCCTATATACTATATACTAGGATTGACTTTCATAAATAATGGAAAATAAAAATCAATTCGTGGAAGTTCCCTGTATTTTTTCTTTTGCTCTTCACGACACATTCCGTTTATTAATAGATGAAATCTCGTGTCTCGTATCAATGCGTTCGTTTTTACGCTATGGATAAATATTTAAAAGAATGTCTAAATTTATTATTTTAAACAAGCGAAGTAGTAAATATGTAAAGTATGTCTAACATACATATTTTTCCTTACACGGGATCCTAAGAGGGATTAAACTGCATGCGGAATCTTTGTTCGTGAAGCAACTCAACTCAAAAGCGCCGACAGTACTCTATCACCAGAAAATCAATTTTCTCGACGAATATTTGTCGTCTATTGTCTCTTTTTTTCACATGTCCGGTCCTATTCAAGGCGGCGATTGCGTCGCTTAGGAAATTTTATCGAAGCAGTCGCGGCGAAGCCGATGCTGGACTGTCGATGAACGACCATGACCATGCGGCACAATGGTTCATGTGATGCTTCGTCTCTTCGCTCAGTGTCGCATATATCTACGTCGCTTTTGTTGCGCCTAAGAGGCTTCGAAAAAGCACCGTGACTAATTAATATCCGAGCTTTTTGCCGAGAAGCGGTACAGACGCGCGTTTCAGATTTGTGACCAATCGCGATATTATCCCCGGTCATTTTAACAATTTTCGAAACTTTTCCCTTTTACATTATCTCGAAATATCTCTTTAATATTAATTATTTAATATAATTGTGTAATATGAAAACTTGTCCTTTTATTTGAATCGTAAAACTATAAGACTTCCGAAATTATTTAATAATCTAATCTGCACTTCTTGAAATATGTTTCGTCTGAATTTTCGTATTGAACAATTATAACAATTTAATAATTTTAGTAGCTAAAAAATATGCTAGTTACTTAGTAAATTATTAAAGCCGTGTTGAATTTAGTGTTAATTATAATAATAATTAAAATGTATGGGAGTTCAAACGTATCTGTAGACTTAAACTAAAATATTTTAAATTAAAATCCATAAAGTTCTAAAAACTTAACTACCAATTTTCATAATTTTCTTTATATGTCCGTTTTTACAATATTTGTATGTCCTGTGAAAATTAAGAAGAGTAAAGTAGTTTAATTACTGTTTACAACTCATAAATAATAAATGAAAAAAATTTATTGAAAATAATTATAATTGTATAAGGAACAATCGAAACGTGGTAAGTGATGAGCACGGATTTGAAGTGAGCATGTCACCTCGGTGTGTTTTCCTGTCATTTCTAATTTACTAGGCGGATGCGAGTTAGTCTTCCAATTTGCAGCTACTAATTTGACTTATGATTTCGTCATATGATCGAAGGCTTATAGGCTTGGTTAGTAGCTACAATGCCATGTATGTCGATCAGATCGAAATCCTAAAAGCCAATGTCGTAACAAATATTGTGCATTAATTCGCCGTAAATAAAATGACAAAACACCGCATCTGCGTATTACATATATTAATTACGTGTGTATTAATACCGTGTATATTGATATGATTTTTATTCTGATTTTGATGACATGTTTCTATCGAACGTCTCACGGAATTATGCTTTGCCTTTACTCATCATAGCATGTCCATCATTTTTTTATCGGGATATAAAGTTTATCTCAAAATCTTACACGCGAGTCAACATCATAATTTTGTCATTTATTTCGATTTCGTATTTAGTTAAATGATAAAAATTCAAAAGAATCGCGACTTACCAAAAACGTTTCTGATGGCTCCTTGATGGCAGGAATTAGAGGGATAGGATACAAAAATTGAAATAAGAAAAAAACGAAAAAGTAATGTGTAATATAATACAGTTTTATTTTGCTAGTTTTTTATTAGACTAGAAAGAAAATATATTATTAATAACATAAAGTAATAATAATAATAATAATAATAATAATAATAATAATAATAATAATAATAATAATAATATAATAATAATAATTAATAGTATATTAATTATTATCATTTTATTTTTAATTATATAATAATATTAATTATTATTCTCGTGACTAATTAAACAAAATAATATGCTACTATTATTATATAATTAGCCAATAATAATGACAATAATTAAACGTTAAATTAATAATAATTAATATAATAAACTATTATATACATAAGAAAATGGTAGGAAAATAATATAGTGATCGACATACATAACATTATATGTTGGTACATGATTACTAATGTATAGGTACGTGATATAAATGGGTGTATATTTGATATGTGTGAGGAAAAGAAAGCGAAAAGCGAAGCCACACCCTCGTCAGCCACGGAGATATAAACGTAAAATAAAGTAAATTGAAGAGAAAAAGAGACAGAAAGAAAGAAAGAGGGAGAAAGAGAGACAAGTAAACAGATGCATATAAAAAACTATTTAAGGTCGAGATATTCGATTCCAAGCCTAATAGGAATCGTGTAGGCAGACGAGAGTGTGACCACATAAAAAAATAAAAGAAAGGAAAAATGTTTTATAAATAATTAATATAAAACAAAATGATGTTTTGTAGGTGATTAGCTGTTTATAATATTTGCGAGAAATTTTCGAGTAATTGTCATATAATATATGACGTCGTCGTTAATAGCAGGTAAGGCATTATTATGCTGAAACGCTGTTTGTAAACTAAGATGTAAAATTCATTAAAAGTTTACGTCTGTACTTAAATAAAGGAAATCACGAAAGAGAGAGCCCTCGCTCGGATCTCGATTCGGATCCCAGATATGAGCGAGAATTTACGAAGTATTTACACTAACGTCGAACGCATAGCGCGAAAGAAATTCCTGAAGGGTGTGAAGATATTGGAATGGCTTCGCAAATAAGGATGACATTAACGACGGATATAACAGTCGAAAAAAAGCTTCGTAGAATAATCGATAAAATAAAAGAAATTACTCGCGTCTTTACAAAAGGTATAACAGATAAATATAAAACAATAATATATAATTGTCGCAATTTGAGTCTCTTTACAGCAATTTACAGAAGTTTACATTTGAATTTGCTATTCAACAGCGATGGTTAAAATCTTTCAAACAAAAAAAATTATTATCGTTTTATATATTCATATACATAAATATTTTTTTTATAAATTTCTTGAAAAACCCACCCTTCTTTCTCCTTTTTATTCTCTGCTCTATGCTATTTACGCGAAATCTCATTCGTTCTTATACTAATAGTTATCTAATGATAACTGTAAGGAACTTTTTTCTATATTGTTTAACTCTAAATACATTAGATTCGCGGACTATATATATATATATATATACGTATGTATGCATGCATTATATTATACGCATGCATGTATACGTATATATGTATACGAATGTATATTGTATATATACATAGACGTATTATATATATATATATATATACATAAATGTATTTTAGAGTATATTTCTATTAATATTTAATTGCTTAATACAAACCATTTAATACTTATTACTGATTTAGTGATAAGTAGACCCTTTAAAATATCACAGGGGCCCAGATTTACAATACAATATCAACATGATATCGTTATATATACATAGATACATAATGTCTAAGATATAGACATGAACGACTATACGCTCGCGAATTCGAAATTCCATAATGCAATTTCAAGTTAAACGCGAACGCCATAAGATCCACACTCATCTCTCCTTCTAAATTTTATAATAAAATTTTCGAAAATCGAAACAAAAAATTTTTTGAGTGACAATCATTGTTAAGTAAATCCCCGGTTGTGTTACAAAAATTGCTATGTAAATATAAATGTTAGTCAAATTATGGTACGAATTTCGAATTTCGGCGTCGTTTAGTCGTCTAAGAGGTCAGCCAGACACTCACCGGTAGTGGTGCTAGCTGCGTTGGCCGTAGCACCGGCGGGATGCTGCTGCTGCTGCTGCGACTGGAACATTGCCGTGGGGTGAAGGAACACGGATCCGTACATCATATTTTCGTCCGACTGTTGCTGCTGCTGCTGCTGCTGATTTGCTGACTGGTAGTAGCGACTACCGGGGAATTACTGATACCAGGACCACTGCCACCACCGCCACCGGGTACGATTGGTGCCCCGGGAGTCGGCGGCACCAGACTGCCCTCTTCAACGGCGACGCGCACCGATTCGATGTGCCGCCGTGAGAAGACATGCTCCTGCAGCGGGGTCTTGGCAGAATAACGGACAGAGCACAGTCTGCACTCGTCTGGTCCGGTCGGTCCGCGATGCGGTTGAACGGCTGAGCTCTCGGCTGGTAGACCCGCCGCTAGCCTAGCCTTCTTCTCCTTGGCACGAGCATTCTGGAACCACACCTGCAACTCGTCTCTATTAGTCTCCACAAATTCGGATCGAGATTAGATATGCGCGCGCGTCCAAGTAAATAGCTTCCTCGTGGACTATTAATGATTTATTTACGAGCTCGGAGTCGGGCTCGCACGAGGACCATCGATGCTCACCTGGACCACTCGTTTCGGCAGGCCGATTTCGCGACCGAGCATCTCACATTCGGCCATCGTCGGTGTCTTGTAATCCGAGAACAGCGACTTCATCACTTTCACCTGGGTGCCTGACATCTGTGTACGGTACCGCTTACCGCCGGATTGACTAGTGTTCCCGCCGCTGGATTGTGCACTGGTCACCGGCGGTCCAGAGGTATTCCCGGTGTTTCCACTAGCGGGTCCTTGCCTCGAGCTCTGAGTACTCGAAGCTGGACTCGCCGGACCGCTCTCGTCGTCTAAAAATTCCGTGGTCTCGCTCATGCTATCATCGTCGCAAATGCTGCGCTCGGATAAATCAGTCAGGGGTCCGCAGTCGCTACCACCGCGGAAGTGAGCGCCATGTTGCTCTTCGAGAAGACTATTCAGGCCGCCCACCAGAGTCAGTTTCATGGGTCGGCTGAGGTCGACCGGTTTGCTCAGATCCAACGGAGACTCGCCGCTGTTGTTGCCAGCTTGATGATTCGCTGTTTCTTGCTTTCCATTACTAGCACCACTGTGCATTAGTTCGCTAAAGTATCGTTTCATATCCTCATAATATTTCAAAGATTTTAAAGACGTCTCCATGTCGCTATTATTGATTGGCGGAAATAGCGGTGGCATCATATGAGAAGTTGAAGAATTAGAAGGAGCAGATTCCATCGAGAGCTCCTCATCGGGGATGTTGTCGATGTTCACTTCACCGCGAGCTACCTGATCGGCGTGCTTACTGCTAAGATGAGATTCTAAAGCAGACTTCACTTTGAATAGCGCTGGACAGAACGGACAACGCTTGTTGATCACTTGGCTATGGGCGCGAAATTGACCCTTACGTTCACGAGCGCGTGTGTTTTGGAACCAAACTTGCACTACGCGTTTCTTCAAGCCAACCTCGCGGGCGATCGTCTCCAACATCTTCCTCGATGGATTCGACTCGACTTGATATTTTTGATAGAGATAATCCAACTGCTCGGGAAGTATTGTGGTTCGCAAACGTTTATCCTTAGGTTGCTCGTTGTGTTCCGAGTTTAAACGGTTGTCGCCGCCCGTTCCTTCCTCGGAATCCTCGTATTTTCTCTTTTGCATCATGGCAATGAGCGGATGCGGGGTGTCTGTTGTAACAACGGAGGTAGCATTAAGTGCTTGCTGCTGCAGAATTCCGAAAGGTGAATCAGGTGGGTAGCCGCCTGTTGGCGGAAACAGGGTCGGGTTCATGATATGTACTATCTGATGCTCGCGCCAAAGCTCGAATCGTGCGAACACTAAGTTACATTTTTCGCACTGATAGTTACTTTCCTTCGATTCCGTCTGTGACTGCTGTTGCTGCGACTGCTGCTGTTGCGACTGTTGTTGGGACTGTTGATGCGTTTGAGACAATGTCTGTTGTTGATGTGAATGAGGAGGCGTAGCGGTATTCAACGGTTGTTGTAATTGTTCCGCGAGCGCAGGGGCGGCCGATGGATTGTTGGCTATCGTGTTGTTTGTAGTTGTGGTAGAGCTGCTGTTACTGTCTTCGGAACTTAGAACCGCGGCAACTTGAGCCGCCGCAGCCTGGGCTTGCGCACTCCTCTTGGCGTCTTCCTCTTTGAAGCAGTGCGTTTTCTGATGGCGTATAAGCTCGTAATATCGTTGAAATACTAGCAAGCATTTTTTGCACTGATAGTTTAATCCTGGTGTTCTTTGAAATCTGCCAGAACCATCGTCATTCTCGCGTCCGCCCGCTGTCACAGGCTCGGCGGCGGGTTGATTTTCATAAACCTTACGTGCTTTCTGTCTAGCGTTTTGAAACCACACCACAATCACACGCGGACTCAAGCCGAGAAGCTTGCTGAGATACTCTAAATCATCATCTTTTGGATAAGCGTTGTTCTCGAAAAATTCTTGAAGAACTTTTATCTGATAATCGGTGAATCTCGTTCGATTGGCGCGTTTTCCGGAACTGCTACCGGCGCTGTTGCTGCCATTACTATTGCTGCCGAAAGAATAATCCGTCGGTCCACGACCCGGGCTCAGAGATCTCTGTGGTGTAAGTGCCATGGCAGCGATAGCGTTCGACACTACATTACCTGTTCCCGGACTGGGATTGGCAAAATTTTGGGGCGTTAGTTTTGGCGGTAACATCGGAGTACTCGGAGTGTTTGTGGTTGATGGAGGATGGGATGAAATGTCATGATGGATGCCCGAAAACACGGAACTCATACTAAGCGCAGGTGAATGCGGTCGGGATTGTTGGTCACCCGAGCTACCAGGCGAATGATGTTGCTGTTCCTCTTGATGCTGTTGAGTTTGCTGTTGCTGTTGACATTGCGATTGCTCGGGTATCTCTTGCTTAATTTCGGCAGGCTGCGATGTGCTTGCATTCTGCATAGATGGTGGAGGTGTGGTTTGCTTATTCGGGCTTTTATCGTCGGAAGAACTTCCAGACACGCTAGAATTTAACGGAGTTACTTTCGCCTCGCCGGTCTTTTCGTATTCCTCGAGATTCAGAGTAGTACTTGGCGGATTATTGAAATTGTAAGGACTATCTTTGTTACGTTGCCGTTCCTTAAATAACGTATTTCGGAACCAATGTTTTATAACTTTAGGGGGCAAACCGCTCTGAGCAGCCATTTCTAAAATTTGCTCTTCACCAGGAGAATTATTAATATCAAAGTGGCCGCGTAGTATTTTTAATTGTTCATCAGTGATACGCGTACGTGCCCGTTTCTGTGATGCAGCTGCGTTCGCCTGAAAGGTCAAAAAAGTCGTTCGTATTTTCCTTCCGTTTACTAATATTTGACAGTTTTGCGATGGTAAAAGATAATCAAATAAATAGATAAATAAATAAAAAATAAATATATTTTTCTTTTTATTACCTTTGCATCTAGATTAAATATTATTTTAAATTTGTGTTTACCTCCTCACCACTGCCTATATGTTGCACCATCATCATAATATATACTAGTGTTTGATGACACTATTGTAATTTTATTCGTTGTTGATGCGGATGTGTAAAAAAAAAAAATAAATAAATAAATAAATAAATAAGTATATAAACGAATAAATATAAATATTACGAATACACATAATCTTATACACATATCTACTTACTGCTGCCGCCGCCTGTTGTTGCTGAAGAGTTGCAAGATGCTGCTTAGCAAGAAGATCCGCTTGATTAATCGGTGGATATCCGGCGGCAGCACCATCATACGGTGGTGGTGGTAACATCATTGGCACTAGAGGTGGCTGCAAGTTCATAGCCGCCAAAGCGGGTACATTCAATGAGAATGGTAATCCCATCATTCCCATCATTAATCCCGGATATTGTTGTAGATGTTGCTGTAATTGCGACGCCGCCATTGCGTTCAAAGCAGCCTGCATTTCTGACATTTGTTGCGCAAATGTGAGTTGCTGCTGCTGTTGCTGTTGTGATTGTTGCTGCTGCTGCTGTGACTGCTGCTGTTGTGGAATATGATGCGAATTGGTAGGCAATACAGTCGGCGTCGTCGAATCTGTGCTTGAAACTGGAGTGTTGCTCAATGCCGGAGTCGTTGTTGGAGTAGTAGACGTGGCTTCTGGTGTTCGACTGACACGTTCTTTGTTTTCAGTGTTTTCTTCCTTTTCTTTTTCACGCGATTCCTTATCAGAACTGAGATCTTGTGGTTGTCCAGCAGCGGGCGTGGAACTTCTCGGCGCCGTAGTGGTTGATGAGGACGTCGCGACGGTCACCACTACACTTTTCTTCTCGTACTCACACTTAAACTGCTGCGCATATTTTTCGAGAAACTCGCGAGGTACGAGATCACGATGAACCTCTTCACAATGAGCTTTCAGAACCCAAACACTACTAAACTCTTTGTTACAGTGCTGACAAGTGCTGCGTGTAAGTTCGGGTATCACGTCATCATCGATGTGAGTCTCCTCGACTTCTTCCTCTTTCTCTTGCGCGGCTTGAGCAGCGAGAGCTTGCTTCTGCTGCTCTTGCTTTTGTTGTTCTTGTTGCGCTTGAAGAGCGGCGGCCGCTTCCTCCTCCTTGCGTTGCCGTCTTTGATGATTCTCGTTAAACTGCATGACAAGATCGAAGCCGAAGCTCTCCAGGAGATGTTTGTACATTTGCGAGGTCTTGTGTCGCGGTTGAGAGAGAATATCTTGCGATGAATGCTGAGTGGCTTGCTGCATGTGTTGCTGCGGTCCTGGTGTCGTAGATGCAGGAGGTGGTGTTTTCGCAGGAGTGGACGAGCCCAATTGTTGCGATGCAGCCAATTGTTGAAACAATGCCAATGGATTGCTAAAAATGCAATACAGTTGCTGATGCGTCGCCAATTGTTCTTGATTGACGAACAGAGCATTGCAACGCGAACAGCAAAGCATCCCGCTTGAATTACTCGTGTTACTGTTGACGGGTGAACTGGTCGGGCTTGTTGGCGGTGGTTGCTCAATCAGTGGCCGAGCGAGATCTAACTGACCACTGGCTGCAAGATCCTGTAGTTTACTGGTACGCGTTTGATGAAGAACGCTTCTCATGTGAATATCCAGGGTGCTACCCTGGCTATACGAGACTTTGCAGATGTTGCACTTATATGGTTTCTTGTCCTGATCTTGCTGGGAATCGGGCGACTCGGTCGGGCTAGCTGGAGGTACCGAGAGCAACGTATTGTTGTTACCTTGCTCTTGCATCGCTCGCTTCAGCTTGTGCAAATGACTCACACTGTTGTAATGTACGAGAAGTATATTCTTTTGCGTGAAGCTCTCCTTGCAAACGTCACACTTGTACGGTCGATTAGGGTCCAGATACTTTTCCATTGGATAAGACATTTTTTCACCTTTGCGATGTAACAAGGTCTTGTTGTGGCCGGTGAGATAGCTCTGACGCGTAAAGGCCACCTTGCATCGGTGACACTTGAATTTTCGACTAGGATCGTGATAAGAATCTTCGGCAATTGTTTGGCTATTTAAGTAATCCTCTAGCATACGTTGCTCCTTCTGCAATGGGGACGAGTCACTAGCATCACTTTCCTCTTCGTCACCTTTACCCGCGTCATCTTCTGTATTCTGCTCGCTCATCAAGCCGCTTTGTCTCCTCAACGTTTCTTCCGTGATTGCTTGAAACAACGGATGTGCGTGAAGTAAGCTCTGCTTGTAGTGAGCTAACTCGTCCTCATGAAAATCGTGAGCAGATTCCAAGTGTCTCTGAAGCGCTTGAACTGAACGAAAAGATCGGCTGCAGATCGTACATTTGGTTGCGTCTCTGATCGCGTGGTACTGGGAGTGTTGTTGAACCTTCTCTAAAGTCTTGAAAGCGAGGCTGCACTGTCCGCAACGATACTTGTAAACATGTTTCTCGCTAACTGCTAAAGTAGGCGTCGTAGCCGGATGAGCTTCTCTGTGATGTTGCTGAAGATCTTCGAGGGTACGGTAAACTCGACCACACACAGTACACCTGGTGAGCTCCTCGATGTCATCGTTGCCACTTCGTTCGCTCAGATCTTCTTCCTGATGGGGTTTCGTCGTTGTTGTGGGCGACGTCGGCGTCGTTGGAACTGTAACAGCTGGTGTTGAAGTATTCCTTGGATTATTGTTAAGCCAATGACTTTGATCCACCAATAATAATAGCCTTTGCAAACCGTCGGTGTTAACGGAATGAATTTGCATCACATGCTTCTCAAGCGCGGGACGTTCCTTGAAACTATCTTGGCACAACGGACATAATAATTCCGGCGTCTCTTCCTTCACTGCTTCAGTTTTCTCTTCCGAATCATGAACGTGAGCCACTTGCAAATGTTGTCGTAATTCTTCCCGTGACGTCGGCTGATACGTACAGTATAGGCACGTAATTTCCTCTTGGTCATTCTCCGGCTCCGCTTCCGGTTCTGGATCATTATCCGGTTCTTGTTTCACTTCACTACCACACTCACTACCTTCATCTCGTCGTTCTGAAACGAAAAAAAAAAACATAATTTGTTTTATATAAAGATATGTAAAAAATGTCTAAAGAATATATTTAATAGATTTTTTGCTAAATAAAATTGTATAAATTAAATTATTGTACATAATTTGTCTTTAAATTGATATTGACATTTATTTATCGATATTTCTGTTTTTACAATCAAAATGTCCTGATGCGAAATTAAAACAAAATAAAAGTTTAATAGCAAATATGTAGGAAAATGTATACAATTTATTTAATATTTACTAATATTTAAGTGCGTTTTGAAATTACTAAACTTTTGTTTTTTATAATCAATAATTTATTCATCATAAAATATTTTAATTTTAAATTCCTCGTGAGAAATGAGTAATTAAAAATGCTAATATTCAAGTGTATAATTACTTATATGTATAAAGCGTGACAAGAAGAGAGCACTTAAAATATTTATATTTTGTATCGCAGAAAATTTCACAATTACAATTTTCTTCAGACAATTATCGTGTATATTATTATCACTATTGAAATTTTTTAAGTTTCAAATTTGCCGAGATTCGTTACAATAAATTGGATTTTTCATCCGGGGTCAGCGTAATATTAAACTTCGGCATTAAGTATTCGGACGCGCGCAGGAGACAACCATCCATTTGGCAGTGATTCATTCCTCGAGACATTAGCTTGAAATTAAACGCCACAAGAGAAAGTAAATTATAGATACTACCAGCTAAACTATGGCACAACGCGCAATGTAAGGTTCGCGTTTAGTATGCACCGGCCGCGTATCAGGGCGAACATTCTCTCTAGAACGGCTCTATTAAACTGATTAGATTCTTATTCGAGTATCGCGATCCTTCCTCTCGGCCCGCCCGGACTGACTCTGATCCGCGAAGGAATTATCCCGGTGTAATTATATATGCCGCCGGTCGTTTCGATGCGCGAACGGAAGAATTTACGCAAGCGAAACGCGCACATATGTACGTCGTGAAGAGAAAGTTTTCCGACGATGCGTCAAAAAAGAGGAAGGACGAGGAATCAACGACCAGGACTTTTGCACGCGTCGCAGATGCTCTTTCGCGACATTCTTATAACAATAATATATCAAATTACAGATTCGAACTGCGCCGATCTGGTGGTTTTTTTTTACGAAAGAGGAGAAAAAAAATGAAAAAGAAAGGAACGAAAAAGTGGCAATCAAAATAAAAAAAAAAGAGGCAAAAGGAGGACAAGACGGTCTGTATCGTGCAGCATTGTCCGAAAACTCAGTTGCACGATAGGACCGTCAGTTGCGATCTTACAACGTGCGCGGAACAACGTTGTGTATGTGCAACAACGTGTATGTGCTCGTTGGTTTTATTTCTCCACGTATATTTATATAAATATAGTTCCTGTCGATATACGTATGTAATAATATGCAGCATTGTGCGCGCTGGTAGTGACGGCACACGCCATGGCCATATGTCATGCAAAATTACCGTCATTGTTATCCTAATTGTGAAATAATAAAATAATGAGACCAGTGAATTCATTAAGAACGTAGTTACAGGTTTTCCTTGCTCGTGCAAATTAATGTAGGGTGCAGGCTGATATAAAAGAAATTATATCCAACACCAATTCTTTTATAATTGCATGCAAACATTTTTTTTAAATATTAATATCAAGTATATCTAGCATAAAAAAAATTTACTAGATATCCATCAATTAATTAAAGAGTATTAAAATCATAAGGGGAAAAGAGGAAAAAAAAAGAAAAATAAAGGAAAAAAAAAAAAAAAAAAAAAAAAAAGAAGAAGAAGAAGAAGAAGAATGCATATGATCATAATATATTTTGTTAGAAAAGTCATATTAATTAAACATTGCACTTTTATAATTTTCTGAATATATTTAGCATTTAGGCCATTATTAATTGACTGCTCCACGTAACTCAATTGATAAATGTTATTGTCTGTCATGTGTAAAACGCGAGGCATGTCTTTCTGTAAATTTTAAAAATAAATTAATAAATTATTTTTAAAACGTAAAAGAAGTTATTGGGACAATGTGTGATGTAATTAATTAAATAAAAATTAAATATCAACGATATTAATATTTTATGACGGAAATATATATCTATTGTATTTGTTATTAGATTTATTCTAACTCACCATTATTGGTGCTTGTTGCGTTGGGTGTCGTCGGCGTGGTTGGGCTCGGTTGTTGCGTAGACGGTACATCGGGATCGCTCACTACTTGAAACACTTCGCTAATATCCGTGTGCGGGAGCGGAGTCTCGTTTCCTTGGAGGTTGCTTCTCCTATGAAGCTGATGTAGCTGCTCCATTTGAAAATGTCGCATAGATTTCACATGTTGTAGGAGCGGCAATCGGTGCCTGGCACTGAATCCGCACAAAGCACAGTGATACAATTTCCCAGGAGTTTGGATGTTGCCGCTCGCCTCGATAAGATGACGGAGCAAAAGCGTCGCGGCATCATGCCTAGGCGAGGCGGCGTGCAGAGCCAATTTATGGGCGCTGTTGGTGTAATAATCGCACGCGTGGCAACGCAATTGCGCGGCGCTCGTGGGTGACGCCAAGTACTTGAGTTTCCATTCGTTACGTGGACCACCTTCCTTCACGTGGTTCACGTGTTGCAGCCGCTGCAGATGCTTGTCAGTCTTGCAATGCAGCTGGAAATTCGCTTTCAAATTGGTTTTATAGGAACAGAGCTTGCAAACAAAGTTTGCGTTTAACACTGCAAGTATCTCGCCCTCACGGGTTCTCGTTCTATCGATAGCCAGGTGATGGCCCAAAGCCTCGAGCGAATCCGTCGCGAAGTTGTTGCAGACACAGCAGTGATAAATTTGAGACGGATCCTGATCCGCAGGTTCCGGTGGCGGCTCCATGCTATCCGGCGAAAGCCCAACATCGCCGCCAAGATTAGTCATGGCAGCCATGTTCGCCATGATCTCAGGTGGGAGCTGCTGCGGCAGTGGACCGCCGGTCATCATTTGTATTAGGAGCGCTTGATTGTAAGCCATATCGGCCAATGCCGCCTCCGCGTGTTGCGGTTTGTCTAGACCGCCTAAGTGAAGCAATTGTTCAAGCTGTTGTTGATGCTGTTGCGCCTGCTGATGATGGTGCTGCGCTTGCTGATGGTGAGTCAACACGGACAATGTCTGCATATGCTTGATATTTTGATGCAGAACGAGCGAGTTGTGCGTGTGCTTCTCGCTCGTCATATGTATTCTCAGATTCCGCGCAACATTTGTCTCGTAGTTGCACACGTCGCAGCGAAACGAATGCTTCGGTTTACTCTGATTACTACTCTGGGCGGCCATATGGGGATTGTGATTCTGCTGATGGTGAGGACTCCGTGTCGGCATTGGCGCCTCCTGAGACGAGGAAGGGTTACTGGTACTGGAGCCACCCCCGCTGCCTTGCTGCAGTTCCTGCATGTTGTTTAGATGCTTGTCACTTTGCATATGTATACTGAGATTGCCCTTCGTCGTGGTAGAATAATTGCATACCTCGCATCTGTATGGCTTGTAGCCGCACGTATAAGTCTCGCCACGCGCTAACCTAGGATGCGGCTGACCTGCGATGCAATAGATACAGGATGTCTCGTTTTCGGGATGCTTCTCCTTCATGTGTATTTCAAGAGTCTCTTGATACTTGTAATGCCAGTTACATTTAGGACACTTCAGGGTCTTGCAAGAATTCCGACTGTGAATGCCAGCGAGCGGTCCACCAGCACCGGCGAGTCGACTGGTAGCTAATATCAATTCACATCTACCGCACTCTACTCCGCTCGGCCTGCCTTGCATATGATCCGAACACACACCTATCGTAGTACCGCCGCTGTAACTCGGTGGGTTCTGTGGATGAGTGAGCGCGTACGAAGATGGGGATCCTTTAGCCGACGAAGTCGGCGGTGGTGGTGAACTGTAATGCATGACATCGGGAGCTTTAGCCCATGATACGGCGCTAACCTGCGCGCCCGTCCACTGATGCTGTTGATGATTGTATGCGAGAGGATGATTCGAGTGCGACGTCGGCGTTGTCGGCGTGCTCGGCGAGGGCCGCTGTTGCGTCTGTGACGATTGTTGCTGCTGTTGAGGACTACTAGGTACGCCAGGTGTGCTCGCCGGGGTGTTCGTTGTCGTCGGCGTTATCTCGTGTTCGTTAGACTCGTTACGTTGCTGCTCGTTGCGTTGTTGCTGTTGATTTTGTACTTGCGCGGGCAACGCCTGAGCGCAAGCCAAGTTCGTGACAGGCTCCAGGAAACTAACAAGCGGCTGCTTACCTCGACCAACGGCCTGAATAATGGCCGACGCCGTCGATTGCGAGAGTATCTGTCGTTCGTCTTCCATTAAAGTAAGTTGATGCTCGCCCTGAGCGTGCGCGACGAAACTTTTCGCGTATCCGAAACTGAGCTTGCATATGAAACACATTAGGATAGGTTTGATGGGCACTGATGCAGGGGATGGTGGCGCCGTGAACTTTGGAGGGGGTTGCTGTTTACCCTCTGCGCTCCTATAGCTGATCACCCGATAACTGTGCATCACAGGAAGATCGGGATTGTGCTGTTGGGCCGTCGAGCGTTGTTGCTGTTGTTGCTGCTGCTGCTGGTAGACCTGGTGCGCGTACAGCCGCGAAACATAATACGCGTTCGCGATTTGTGGGAAAACTAAGGAGTGAGGAACCGATACACCGCGCCCGTCTACGATACAACCGTCGGGTAGAGAGTCGTCTTCGCTGAGCTCGCTCTCGCCTTCGAAGATGTAGGCCGATCCATCCGGATTGTAAACAATCTTACCGTCGAATTTCTCTACATCGCCGCCCGTCGGACTCGGACTCGGACTAGGGCCTTGCTGTTGCTGCTGACTCTGCGACTGCATAGTCATAGTAGTGGTCGTAGTGGTGGTGGTGGTGTCCGCGATAGGTGTAGGTGTCGGTATCGCGTCGCGGGTGCAGGGTTCCGTGCCCGAAGGTGGACTAGCCGTGCGGGGGTGATGGGGCTGATGTAACGCAGCCCCAGCCGCCGGGGGGGACCCACCCCCTCGGCCCCCCTCCTCCTCCGGGCTCATCTCCTGCTTCTGCTGCGCGTACGTGGAATTTTGGAAAGGCCCGCCGTGTTGCTGCTGTCGCTGTTGCTGCTGCTGATGATGGACCGCCACCAGCTGCTGAAATAACTGATGCTCGATCGCGCTCGGCGTGTGCTGCTGTAGATGCGACGGAGGAATATTGTGGTGCTGAAGGTGGTACGGGGGATGAGGCTCACTGGAGGGCATCACCCCAGACGTGAGGCGGGCGCCAGCCTCACATCACCTACGGTGCCTGCGCCTGCGTTCTCCGGACTTCCTCTTCTTCTTCTTCCGCGCGGACTCGCCCGCTTTCTCGCTGACTGCCTCTCCGTCTTATTCTTCCTTTCGCCACCGAGAGAGGGTTCACTAGCTACCCCGACGTAAGCCCAGGTCGTACCTGCGAACAAATTAAGATCCACCATTAAGATTGCGTGTTTCACGTGTCATTTATATGTGTAAAAAGGTTGATGTGTAAATGTAAAAAAACCCCAAAAAAAAAAAAAACGAACTAAATTGTATATAGAAATTTATTTTATTTTTGTTATGTACAATATACAGTACAAAAAAAATATAAAATCTTAAAATATACAGTTGTATCCGTTGGATGAGACTAGTTAGCCCGCTCGTGAGAGAACGACGTTGTACAATTGGAATATTTAGGAATCGTCTAGTCGGTTAATCCGGTCAAACAGAGTCGGCATTTTCGAGGACGGTCGAAAGATAGCGAAATACGTAGAACTGCAGCAAGCTGCGTGTGCAGAGGATCGAGCCGGAGAAGACGGCGGACGTAAGATACACAAAGCCGCGGAGAACCACCACGGCGAACACAACGGTTCCTTGTATTCGGATTACCTGAGTGAGCCCAGCTGTGTTTGCGATCGATCGGCCGAGAGCTTATCTATCGATGGAATATCAACGTTTCCGCTCGGCCGATGTGAGAACGAAAGACGAAATGAGCGAAGAAAACTCAATGGTGAATTCGTCGTCGATGAATGCTCGTCTGTATACCCGCAGATCGAGGATTCTTCGTCCTCGCGTCTCTTTTATATAAATATATGTCTTTCTCTCCCCTTTGTCAACATAGATATATTTTCGTCATATACTGCGCTGTGAAACACAGCATTGTTCTCGTTTACAAATAGTAACATTTTATTCCGAATTTACTGCTTCTCTACATGCGCTCGATTTTTCCTTGACTTTATTTTTAACTTCTCTTTCTTCTCTCAACGTAAAGTTAATATAGTTTCGTTGAGATCGTCCGAGATTTCAAGACAAATTGAGTTGTAAACTGCAAATGCGCTCATACATCACAATTCCCCATAAGGGAAGTGCGCTGGGCGAAAAAGATTAAACGCACTTTGCGAATCTCCTAAAACAAGATACGTTGGTCGCTTTGATTATCGCGGGAGGGAAAGGAAGGAGGGCCCGGGAGATATCACGCTCACGGGAGCATAATCCATGTTTCCAACTGAAACGTGCGCGATGATGCGAATTCCTGCCGGGAGCGAGAGAGAAATGGGCGGAGGGGTACCGAGAGAGGCGCACAGGACTCTAATAATCTAATCCCAATTACGCGGGATCGCGGTCTCGAATCAACGTCGTGAGGAGGAGGAAGAAGGGTGGAGGCCGCAAGCATTCACGGAATCTAACGGATTAAAGATGAGTCTCGAGTGGGTGTATGCGGACCCCTTATATATGCTCTCGCGTGCATGCGTGTGTTCACGGGGGTGTGGAACGGCGTGACGATCCGCAGCGAGTATCTCTCGCATCTCTCGCGGAAGAGAAGAGAAGGATATCCCTCTCTTTCTCTCTCCCTCTCACCCGCGGGCGGAATCGCCGGACATTGTGGTACATACATGGTGGAACGTACACAAGCTCCCCTTCCTCCATCCAGCCTCCCCTCCTCTTCATCCTCCTCCCTCGCCATCGCCACAGTTATAATTCCGCGCGGTGCAAACTCCATAATCTAGTCACCGTATCCCCCGGCATCCTCGAACGATACCGCTTTCGTAATGCGTGAGGTACCTACACGGCGATCGTTCCCTCGGATTATCGTCGATCGATACCGCTAATCCTAGGCGAATCGTCTTCGTGCTCGATCACGTGCCGCGCGAGAAGATGCTTCGCGATCCGATAAAACGGGTGTCTGCTCGACGGCGCTCATTAAGACGGAATCGTACGCTTTGCGGAATATAATTGCTTCGCGGAACGATGTTAAATAAGCGAGAGCGAAATGCATCTTTAGCAAATATGTGTAGCGAGAACGTTCCTATACGAGAGATTCTTCCTCGTAATTCTCGATAACGACGATACGCGATACTCCGGCTAATATTCTGATGCGTGAGTTATAGTATGCGAGGTACTCGCATTACTAAATTAACGAAGCATAATTTCAGTCTTTTTTCCATATTTCAGGAGTGCTCTGTGAGAACGTAATATTCACAGGTCTCATCGTGAGATTACAGCTTTGAAAAAAAATATTCAAAAAGCCCAGACACTCTTTTTCATCATCCCTTAATACACTTTCATTTATTTGTGTGTAGCATTAAAATATTTTAGAGTAGACTGCATATTGAATTTATTTTAAAAAATGTTCTCCACTTCGAAAAATGATATTTTTATTCATTAGCTTAAACGAATCCAGTTTCTTAATGATTATAGATGCAAAACATTGTTGCTTTTACAGATGATGGATTTCCCAAATTAAATCTTAAAAATAAGAACATTGATATTTAATACGATAATCTGACGCTTTGATGTCATATGTATAAACGATAGCGATACGTTATCACAGGCAGCGTGCACAAAAGGGTATACGATGAAGGGTGACGTCGTTTTCGAATAAACGAAAAACATCTGCCAATCTGACATCACCTGCCTCGACTCGCCTATTTCTAGTCAATTTATCAGGCGTTTTGGGTAACGATGAAACGAGGAAGAGGACCGACTCTAGCGGCGTCGACACGTCGACGTTAAAGGCGCGTATGGCGTCGGACGGCTTTGTTTTCGTAGGGCCTGGCCCTAATTAAACGATACCATCTTAATTGTCTCCCGACCATTCTAACGCGGCGATTCATGGCCGCGATCGTTCCGAGGATAGAGCGTCGAGTTTCGAGGATAGAGACCGACTGTTTTCTTATATTGTGCATCGTCATAATTCCCGGCCGTACATTTTTCTGAGCCAAAAATCTGCGAGATCTCGTTCAAATAAATTATTTCACATGATTTTATCTTTTCAAGAACAACGACGTGCGTCAGTTTGTCTTATTTGTAAAATCGCACGGGTTTAGATTCATCGTAATTAAACAGAAGAAATGTTCTCTGAAATTCGTTTGAATATTTTTACGTTGAATATGAATTATTACAAATTCCACAAAATAAATGGAAAGGAGTTCCTCTTTATTTGAAATAATTTCGCTCAAATCAATCTTAACAACATCGACCGTGAAAATATTTGAGAGAAATCTTTCGAGCTAGAAGAGATATATATATATATATATATATATATGTATATATTATATATACAATAAAGTGGATAAATATTTTACCAAGCAAGCGGAAGTGAGGCGTGCTAAGAACGAACGCCGATGGTTCTACAAGCGTAACACACGCAGCGGACTATACCACAAAGTCCGACATAATTATAACTTTGGAGAAAGTCGAGGACGATCACAGGTGGCTGATGAGTGTTCAATAGTGGAAAAGGGAAGCGCATGACATAACGCTGCGGGATGAAAGACGATCGAGGGCACACGCGGTGGGACCAGGAGAGAGAGAGAGAGAAGGAGGGAAGAGGCTCCCGATGATGGGAGTTAAACGTTCGGCGAAGGAGCGACCGCGGAGTCGACGCACCGAGCCCTTTTGTTTGTCGCGGCGTTTCGCTCGAAGGTCCCTTTGTATCCTATACCGTAAGGGAGGCATCCGCGGTCCTTCCCGATCGCGGGGCCCACATGGCGAAGCAGCCGGGACCGCGTTTATTCGGCACGAAATACGCAAGATGCGCGCAATTATGGACTCTCAATTATCTCGTACGTGTCTCGTTATTTATTGAATATCGGTGTTTATTTCTCAGGCGAACTTGCGTGTCGCGGTGAGAGAGAAACGGGTGTCCACCGGCTGAAAAACAGAGAGTAGGACGGCGGTTCCTTTCTGCGAGTTTCGACACTTCGCTGAACGCGAGGATTGTATATTGTTCGGTTTAACGGCGAAACCGGAAGTTCGCGGAATTCGGCGTTGTGCAAATCGCACCGCAGAGGACTTTTGCGGGCTCCAAAAAAACGAATGAACGATCCAATTGTATTTCTCTCTCTCTCTCTCTCTCTGCATTATTAATCGTTATAATAAATATTCGGACATTAAAGAAATGGTTCACATTTTTCAAAGTGGAGAACATTTTTGTTTAGATAAATTTAATAATTTCTTATACGCATCTACTCTAAAATATTTTGATGCTACCCAAGTAAATTAAAGTGCGTTGACAGATGAGACGAAAAGAGAACGTCCGGGATTTTTAATATTTTTTTAGAGATGTAATCTTCTTAATTTTCGTCTTTTTCAAAGAACGGCTATTGACACCGTTATACGGTGCATTAGACTGTATCAATCGCCAAGTGCAACGCACCGCGGTTCAATTAATCGGGGCCGGTATTTCTCTCATTATTGTTATTACATGACTGCGCACGGGCTTTCTACTTAATATATGCGAGCTGAGAGCTTGATAAGAATTATTCACGGATGACGACCACGTTTAGCCGATGCATAATACGAAGCTACGCGGAAACTCACGGCGCGAGTTACAATCGTTTCGCGTCTTGTATGTAAATGCCGGTATGAAATAATTATAGTTACACCCTGGTACCGGTGCAGTGTCTTCGATCGCGCGCCATCATCATCATCATCATCATCATCATCGCGCGGAAGAGAGGCAAGAGAGTTCGAAAGTGTCTCATCGTTCTCGTCGCGCTATTATCTCGCATTTATGTAAACTATCTCGCGTATTGTTGTACGATTGTAACGACGCTGGACAAATGACGAAAAGAAAAGGAAACCCGTAATAAAAGGTAATAGGTTTATTTACCGATCAGCGTTCTCTTGTGTGTTTCGTAATAGAAATATTGACCGTTCGCCGCGATAATGAGCACTGTCCCGAGGTTTATAATAATACGAGTGCGCGTAAAACTCGTTACAATCGCGAAACGCGAGTTATATAGTAACACGCGATCGATAATTATCTCCATTTCCAGCGGAGATACTGACTAATGCGTTTGAAATTATAGAAAATGATTATACAGAGGTGGGTGGTTATATGTGTTAACGCTGGGAACTTTGCGCTCTTCGAAATTCAACGAACAATTTTTCTCCATCGTCGAATACGGAGAGAAATCCGAGATGACTCTT